AGAGCTCTATGAGTTTATCTTGGATTTCCTGTTTAGCAAGTTTAGGGATGATGCTTTGACCCCTTCACTGCATTTTTCATTTGTAGCATCACAGTGTCCCCCTAAGGGCTGGAGAATGAGCAATTTAATTTCTTTCTGGTCTGTGGAAGAAAGGCTGAAGAGAGCACAGATCCGTCTGAAAGGGCTGGTGGGAATCAGAGCTCAGGGTGTGTGGCGGGAGCCTGCTGCCCCCAGACCCACTCAGTCAGCGTGGCCAGCCTCACCTGGAGGCAGACTGTGCACTCAGAGAGATGACCTGGATGCCACTCACTTTGCAGGAGTCTGTCCGTTGCCCTTTTAAGAGCAGTGAAAACTTCTATGCCTTTATGCCCTTGATTTCTGTTCTGTATGGAAGTCCATGAAACACACCAGTGGGAGATGTGCAAGTTGGGGGCCTAACCTTTGAGAGCATAGATAGACTAGCCTGTGCTAGTGGGATTGATGCTATGAGAATTAAAGTCCTACGAGGACTTCGTTTTGTTACCTTGTCTGTGTCTAGTTCAGATCTTCGCATATAGGGGGGCTTTTATCTAATGTAGAGCACGGAATTTAAGTACTGACAATAGCCAGTATTAACTTCACTGTGTAGAAAGATGTGAGCCACGTCAATGTCCGTTTAAAGACTAGGGTATGCCTGATCCAGGTCATGGTCTGTTCCGTTACGTGCTAGGCGTCTGATAGTTGGACAGTCAGTAAAAGTGACAGAAGAGGAACTGATGCCTTTGAGTTGTGGTGTAGGAAGAATACTGACTATCCCACGGAAAGAACAAGTATGTGTCTTGGAGAAAGTGCAGCCCGCGTGGTCCTTAGAAGCAAAGATGTTGAAACTTCGTTCCACTTACTTCGGGCATGTTGTTAGCAGGGGCCAGTCCTTGGCAAAAGACATCATGATGTTTGATTAGGTGGAAGGTCAGCAAAAGAGAGGAGGACCCTCAACAGGATGGATCGACAGTGTCTGCAACAATGCTTTCAAGTGTATCAGAGATGAGGATGGCACAGGACACAGGGTTGCTGTGGTTTGTGGTCAAGGAACAATGACAACACAGAAAAGACATAAATCAGCATCCATCAAGTAAAAGCAATATAAACACATAAGCCTTAAAAAAA